ATTTCTACAACACTGTTTTCAAAACTAAGTTTGCAAGAAAAAAAATGTGATCTTTTAGATTGTTGAATGGAGACAAATTTTTGTCTGCACAAAACCTTGTTAAATGGCAATAAAATCTGATTTTTATGCCTTTGAGAATTAATTTTCATAATGGAGTTTCACTATTAATATTTTAAATGAAGTTGTGCTGCTCTGTTTATAAAATGTAGTGTTTAATCATATAAAAATCTAAATCATAGCTTTCTAGTGTAACCCACCACATAAAGATAGCTCTTGGGAGGTTTCACAGAGATTCAGGAGTTAATTCATACTGAAATGAAGAGGGATAATGCTTTTATTATATTTTTCCTTAGTTACCAGTTAAAAACATCCAAGATCTTAGGGGAAAAAAAAAAAGGAGAAAGAAAAATAAAATAAAAAGAAGCAAAACTCTGAAGTGAAAAATAAAAAAGCTGTCTGTCAAAGTGAAGTGTAGCTTAGTTACAGTGAGACATGGGTTTGATTTAGTGGAATGCTGTCACTGCCTGTGGGTAACTGGTACTTTCCTAAAGCAATTTTTTTAGGTCATTTGAATGCTTATGAATATGGACACCCTATAAATCTAAAGATGTGTGAGAAATGCTGGGAACCAGAAGGACAGGCTTACTCACATAATCCTCCTAACATTGTCCGTCTGGGTTTGGTCTGAAAGAAAGACAAGGGAAATGTCATTCCTTGTCCTGCCAGAGGCCAGTCTCTGGGGGACCCCTCATTCTTTTTCCCTGTTTTCTTTCTGCAATTAGTTTTATATTGGTAAAAACAGTCTTAGTAGAGTATCTCCCTTTGCCTAGGCAAGAAAGTAATTTTCCCTTCCTTGATTTCTCACTCTCACCCTATTTACTTTTTCTTGTTTTTCAGTGGAGAAACTTGCTTGCCAAAGGATAATAGAACGTGTGGGCTGAAGTCCCTCTGTAGGAGAGAAGGGAGCATTAAACAAGGGTCTCCCTGATGCAGAGTGTGTTAGCTCGGAACACTGCACTGCTTGTGACTCTCCAACCCCAGCTGAAAAAGACTTGTTTGCTGTTCAGTTTGTGAAAGATAGATACTGGCACCATTTTTCCTCTGGAGACTGAATGGGGAAGTCTGTCCCTGAAAATCCCCGAGGAAAGTCCTATTACTCCATGCCGGCTTTTTCATCTGATGCCTGTAGTCTCTTTCTTGGGGAAACAAAGCTGCCTGCATTCCGAATGGGCTCTTCTTCCAATACCACTGACCAGAATGCTCCTGCCAGTGAGGGGTCACCTTCCTAATGTCAGGTGGAAGTGTAAAGGCTGTTGGACCAAGTGTTTCAAGCTGAGGCTCTGATCCTTTCAGCTTACCAAGTCTGGCCCAAGGAGATTTGGGAGCATTTGTGGCATCAGGCTGTAGAAGCAGGTCTGGTATCTGTGTGTTGTGAAGAGCAGATGAGCTGCTCTGTGCTCAACACCTGCTCAGTCAAGAAGATCTCATTCGTGTTGGGAACAGCACAATCCATCCTCAGTAGTTGTACCACTTTTTTTTTTTTTTTATCTCCTCTCTGTCCTGTTGGCCACCAAGCCCCATGCAGCCAAAAATTTACAGCTTTCACCCACGCCAAATGGCTATTTTAATCTTGAGAAAGTTAACTTTTTCAGCTAGATTTTGTTACCGCTTTCCTTCTCTGCACTCACTGCAGCTGCACTCACTGCAGCTCAGATGTTACTTTGCGAATCGTCAGCCTGAATTGTTTGAGCTATTAGCATTTCAGTCACTCACACTTGGGGATACGTTTTCTCCTGGGATAATTGGACAATGGTACCACTTTTATCTTATCTCGAGTTCCCTTCATAGTCCAAATTAGGAGGCTTATTCGGGGAGGGCTGGGCTACGGTGAGCAGTTGCTTCTTTGCACAGTTCGCTACAGCAGACAAAAGTCTTTCAATGATTTTAACAATGTTTAAGCCATTAACGATTTCAGTCTCTCACAGTAAGGAAAGGCAGAACTACCGGCATAAGAGCATACTGCTTGGAATAATAGCTCAATGACCCTGCTTACTGATGAGGTGCGTGTTTACTGGCAATTATTGTTGTTATGCTGCTCCCCCCTCCTCCGACCTTCCCACCCCAACTTCCTTTGTACTTCCCGTTTTTCCTATTGAACTATTTCTCTTCTTTGGTCCTAACATGTAAGAGAATTAAACCATGCTCTTCAGGCTGCTAGTAAGGTAAAAACCTGTAAAATGAAATGGAAGATGGAAACAAAACTTTGTTTGAATAATAAACAAAGAAGAGTAATTTTGATGAAGATCATAATAGAGTTTAACTCTGTACGGGTTTTAGCTTTCCAAATATGATCACTGGCTGCTCAGACAATCTCTCTGTATTCCTTGCAGGCTACTTGTCCTTGGATCTACCCTCTCTGTAGGCTTCCTTTTTGTGTCTGAGTTTGTACAGGAACTCCTTGTTCATCCATTCAGCCCTCCTGCCATTTTTGCCTGACTTCCTCTTTACTGGGGTGTATCGCTTCTGAACATCTCCCCATCAAGTAAAAGAAAAAAAAAAACCAGAAAAAACCAAACAACCAAGCAAAAACTAACCAAAAACCAAACCAAGGAAACAAAACAAAAACACCCCACCCAGCAACAAAAAAACACCTTTATTTGCAATCCTGCTACAGTTAGCTATTATTTACAAAAGCATTTTACATTCTCTTTCTTGTACTTTGGGTGAGGGGTTTTTTAATTAAAATAACTGTAAATTGAAGATCAATGATTCTTGCTTCAATATAAAAGAAGTTGGATAGAATGATAATTAAATTTAGATTTAAGTAATGTAGTCCTGAGCTAGAGTGGCTTTTTTAATGGAAAATAAAATTAAAGGGAACTCAAAAGATCAGGAGCTAAAAATATAAGAGAAAATAATCTTATGAGGAACACAAAACACATAATTGACCTCTGACAGATATTCAGTATTCAAAAAGATATGGATTACTTTAATTTACTAAACACTTTTAAAAGGGATATAAATTCTCATGCTTCTGAGTTAAGCCAAATTTCTAACGAATGGAACGAAAAAAAGAAGCAACTTTCATAAAGCTGTCTTTTCCTCATTGTCCTTGAGGTGATTTCTTGGGACTTTTTCTCCAGTTCTAACTTCTGTCAGGATGAGATTGCTGGGGCTGATTCTGCCTAGTGAGTCAAGTTACACTTCTGCTGTGTAAGTAACAGTGAGGTGAAGTATCTGCAGTCTTATTTCCCCCTTGAAGAAACTGGTTATAGCACCAGCGCGTCTTTTAGGAAATCTTTGGATCCCTGCTGTCCTCCTAAGATGCCCTAGTTCAGCTGCTGGAAGGAACACACGTCCCAGGTGACCCATTAGCAAAGAGAGGAATTGCACAGCGCATGAGGTAGAAAATAGGATCCCACAGGCCCTTTCATATTTTATTGTGCTTTTTTCAGGATTCACATCAAAAGTAGGTTTGCTTTTAAGGTATGTTTCTTGTTTCGATACAGTCGTCTTTGTGAGAATGCTAATAATCTTTTCACAGCAAGGAAATGGGGTTTTTTTGTAAGCTTTGGCCAATGATCCAATTTTTCCAGCTCCACTCCAATAAAGTTAGGCTTCTGAAGTCCCCCAGTGCACAAACAAGATAGATTGTAGTAAACTCTCTAACAACAGATTCTCATTTCACTGGAATCACAAGCAATACGTTTTTATCCCTATGCAGCAGCAAAAGCCTCTGATGTGGTAATTTTTACCTCCTTTACCTCTCTTTCTCCTCCTTCCTTTGTATTCACCTTGGTGTATGTAAATCAGGAGACACAAGGCTGTGTATCTGCATTCATACAAGAGAGCTGAAAGCCCACGTGCTTCACCCACCAGAGAATATGGGAGACTAGAGCTGCCTTAGGATAAATCAAAGCTGGTCTGTTTTATCAGGAACAGCAGCCAAGAAGGGAACTGGCCTAGAGAGGACCAGTCAGGCTGCTCCTAGCAGGACGGTTTGCTGGATTTGGTTTGCTGTTACTGCTGGTTTTTTAATTGCCTACCTGCTCTTTAAAAGGCACTCACAGCTATCATGGACCCCTTGTAGTCAGTTTAATAAGGCAGCTTCTAGCTTTTAATGTGATTCCTTTCATAGCTTTCGATTTTCCTGTCAACTCAGAAGTGATATTTTGGTAACACTTTCACATACTGTCTTGCCGGGGCTCCTGCCCATTTATTTTTTCAACAGGTTCTGGGTCAGATTAAAATTCTAACTGATACTTGTTTTCCAGGTACCTAAGTTGCTCTTGAAAAGCTCTTTAGGCTGTAATTTGTTAAAATAATAATAAAAGGGAATGTTTATATATGCAATTTAAAAAAATATATATTGAAAATGTTAATATTCATCCTACTCAAAGAAGCAGGATTAAAACACAAATGGCCTAAGGTCTGTGTAACCACTGCCCTCAGAATAGGCAACTCTTTGTAATTCAATCACAGCTATAGTGCAGAAAATTTCATTGCAAGTAAGAATGGGAATGTTGAAGAATGTATTTTAGTTTTCTAATATATTCTGTAATACAAAAGCAGCCTTGGAAAAGACTGCTTATCCAAGACTGCATAATCTGGGATTTAGCTAAAGAGACAATGGCAGTAAAGATTCTTTAGTTCAAAAAGTCAAGTGCTCGGATGACACAAAACCCAGTAAGAAAGTGCTACAAAAAATGAAGCAAACAAACTACTGGCCATGTAATTATTCTCTCAGTAGGCTCATCAGACAATTCCCAGTGTGCCCTCCTGCATCTTCTGGGAATGTTTTGACTAAATCTAACAAAATAATAGCTGCAGTCACTTCCTCCTATAGTCACTTGGGATACAAATTGGCTGCAGTGTCAAGTCCTTGAAGGAACTGATGATTCTCACCAGCAATATTTGACTGTCAGAAGCAAACCACTTGGCAGATGGGCAAACATTTTGAAAGCAATTGAAAAATCTATCCTTTTCTATTTTTTTTTCTAGACTGAGAAATCCTCAGGGAGAAGGCATGGTTGACGTCAAGTGGAACATGAGTCAGCAGTGCCCTGGCAGCCAGGAGGGCCAGCCCTGTCCTGGGGGGCATCAGGTAAAGCATCACCAGCCAGTCAAGGGAGGGGGTTGGCCTGCTCTGCTCTGCACTTGGGCAGCCTCACCTTGAATATTGTGGCAGTTTTGGGCACCACAATATAAGAAAGATATTGAGCTCATAGGAGTGTCCAAATGAGGGCACTGAATATGGTGAAGGGCCTTGAGGGGAAGCCATATGAGGAGCAGCTGAGGGCACTTGGTCTGTTCATCCTGGAGAAGAGGAGACTGAGGGGAGACCTCACTGCAGTTACAACTTCCTCGTGAGGGAAAGGGGAAAGAGGAGGGGCAGGCACTGATCTCTTCTCTGTGGCAACCAGTGACAGGATGTGAGGGAATGGGCTGAAATTGTGTCAGGGGAGGTTTAGGTTGGATATTAAGAAAAGGTTCTTCACCCTGAAAGTGGCTGGGCCCTGGAACAGACTCCCAAGGGAAGTGGTCACAGCACTAAGGCTGACAGAGTTCAAGAAGCATTTGGATGATGTTCTCAGGCACATGGTGTGAATCTTGAGGATGGTCCCATGCAGGGCCAGGAGCTGGACTCGGTGATCCTTGTGGGTCCCCTCCAACTCAGCATATTCTGTAATTCTGAGATTCTGTGATGCTGAAATATGCACTTTTGATGTTTCTGAGTTCATTGTATTATTTTAGGTTAATCTAGGAAAAAGTACAGATGCTTTTGGAACCTTCTCAAGCAGATCACTCAGTTCACTCTTCCTTAGCATAGGCATTATCTGTGTGACTCATTAGGAATAAGCAACTTGAGCAAAATGAGCTTCAGAAGTTTCAAAGCACTTGTCCATTCATTACATCTCTTATTCCTAGTCACCAATATTTATTGTTTTAAGAACTTGCTTCCACAAATTGAACTAGAACTCAAAGCTTAATTGCCACAGTTCTTTAACATGGAAATGATACTCAGCTTTCACACACCTGGGAGAGACTTGAACTGCTAATATTAAATGCGTCTTCTATCATCTCTGTGTGAAAACCAAGAAGAAACCTAGAACCAGAGTTTCATAGTCCTTTCACAGCTATTGACCTCCCAGCACAGGTTTGATAGTTACAGATATGTTTTGTGTCTGACTAGCGTGTAACAGTAGCAGCAGTTTTAGCAACTTGTAGGTTTTAACTGTAAAACAAAGTTGTAACATCTGCATTGTGGTGGTGAAGATGGAGAGTTGATTATTTTCAAAAGAAATCTGCAAGACACCCATGAGATTTCAGGGTAGAACTGAGATCCCATTTAGGTTTGAAGAGCTATGAACCTGTCCTCCACAGGGGGTTTCTGCTAATGTTGGATAGGCATTCAAATGCGTTTCTCCCTCTACAGACATGGAGGTGAAGCGGTACTGGGGGTGTAAGTCAAGGTAGTGTGTGCTAACTATGTCTTATCACACTTTGGTGGGGAACAGAAGTTATGAATCTCACGGTGTTTCTGACTGCTTCACAAATGCATGTCCTCAAAGGTGACAAATGGCTTCTCTCCCTCCTGACTGTGCCTCGCATGGGTCACAGCATCTCATTCCCGGTGTAGAAAGGCACATAACTTGCAAGTTAGGAATAAGGACAAAATAAATCAGCCAGAATGAAAGCCCTGCAGTGTTCCTGCTGATGCATCCTCAGAGGGCAGTAGGAGTTCTGTGACTGCCCATCCAGCACGGGCAATGAGCTCATTTCTCTTCCAGCCCAGGAAGGCCCTGGCTGCCCTGGTTCTAGGTAGTCCTAGGGAGGTAGGGAGGGAGGTATGCTTCTAGAAATATATGCTACTGAAAAGGTTCCAAAGCAGAAAATATTACCCTAAAAAACTCCTTAGATCTCTGAATCCTTATGAAGCAGAGTATTTTGGTTTTGTTCTGTATTTTTTTTTCCTTGACTCTACATGGTTTACAAGCTTAGGAGAGCTGAAAAATCCGACACGCCTTTGGAGAAAGCTGTTTTCACTGGCGACAACCCAAAATGTGAGACTTATTCCAAACATGATATTTGCATGTCTAAGTGGATAGATCACTTTCAGTGTGTGAGCTGGAAAGTCTGCTCTCATCTGTAACTGAGTTTATGGAAGTGCATGTTCTTGGAAAAGGCTGCTCTTTTTTGTTGTTGTTGTTTTTAAGGTCTTTACCCACAAACTTTGAAAGTTACAGAATCAAAACTGTGTTGACACAGTTTGCCATGGCTTTTACAGTCTTTAGGGTAATATGTTGGATAATGGATGATTTGCTCCAGATTTCATTGTAAAATAAGTTAACAACATTGTAATTCAGAATATTCCTCCCTTGCAGTACCACAAGAACTGCAAATATTCTTTCTATACTAACGTGCAAATAAAAATATGATCCTTAGCCTTTGAGAAGCTAAACATCATGTGAGATAGTTGTCAATTTCCTGCATCTTCCAGACAGATTATCTTCTTCAGTCCTCAATAGATCTTTTTCTCCTTCTGGCCACTACCCTTTCCTGGTCACATTTGCAGTGTAAAGGTTCCTTCTGTTGCCTCTCATTCTGGATCTAACACAGCCAGCCCCGAGACCAAATTAACTAACTTGAGCATATGTCTGCAATGTCTCCCAGATAACCTGCCTCCTCCCTGCAGGAGCACAGGTCCTGCAGGACTTGCCCGTATGTCATGATCTGGCACAGCTGCAGCACAGTCCCAGGCTTTTTACTGTCCCCAAAAAGGAACATTTTACTATTCCCACTGAATTCAGTAGAGTCTGGATTTGGCAGCTGCTCCTTCTGCTCAGTCCCCAGAAACTTGTGTGGGTAGGTACAGACATGATGGGTTCAGGCTGGACAATTTCTTCTTTCAGATGGGCAGGAGCACAGGTTACATTGGCGATAAAGGGTGTGAGGGGACAAGTCCTCACCACCTTCCTTGCACTCATAGGGACCCAGCCCAGCTCCATCTCTGCCTGCTGTCTCTGAAAGCAGAGCAAATCCTTCCATCTTTCCAGTCTTACAGTCATTCCCTCAGGTCTCAGAGGCATTGACCCATGGTTTTCTCTGAAAACTTCTAGCTGAAGATGTGGTCTGAGAAAAAAGAGCTTCCTTCTCTTTGGGGTATGTGTTTCCCCCCGCACATCTCATTGCAGCCTGATCTGTTTAAACATCAAAAGTTCTTGTGTAAATATATACAATGAGGCTAAGTGATTAGAATAATCTAATGCAAATTTCAAAAACTCTGAGGAGATCTGAGAAATCAACACTGTCATAAGTTTTATTTCCACAGCATGAATGGAAATAATATTAGTAAAATACAGCTTGTACTTCAAAGAAAAGCAGTGTTGAAATGCTAATAAGTAAGAGGATTTCTGGAAAATGGGGAGGGGAACATGGCAGGTGGTGGGGTATGCTCTTTCCCCAGTTGTAGATGCATTTTATTTGTTCATAAATACTTTAAAGATGTAATAACCTCTCCATGAGCAATGAGGCACTCTTTTCCATTAGCTTTTGCCATATAATATTTTCACACATTCCTTAATGTCTGAACCCTCATTCCCAAGCCTGACTTCAACTCCACAGTTGCGCAGCCTCTTGTGGTGGCACCAGTGGCAATCACCACAAGGGCTGAGGGCAAGAGCCATCTAAAGATATCCCAGGAAAGTAAAGCCTCCTCTAGGCAGCACCCAGCCTCAGCCACCCACTTCCCAGAGGCAAGGATCCCTCTTGGACAAAAGGAAGCTATCAGGAAATCAAAACATGGTGCAAAGATGACCTGGATGCAAGAAAAGTCAGTGATGGCTTAGCCCCCAGAGATGCCAGGAATCTGATATCTGCAGTTCTTGTTTGCAGTCTGAGCACCTGCCGTGTCCCCATCATGTCCACGATGTGGCAGCGTGTGTCACCCACCGCCGAAGGGGACGGAGAAGAAGGGAGTTGAGGTGCGGAGAAACCCTGTCTCCCATCTGATGGAGGTGGGAGGGAGCCTCATTAAAACATCCATTTCGGATTCAAGCTCTCCCAAAACTGCACAGCTTTGCCTGCCAGCAGCCAGTTGATAAAAAGCTCGATAAAAAGCTTGATAAAAAGTGAGGGAGGTGTGGTGCAGAGCAGAAGGCCTGTCTGGTCCCTGAGCTGGGGCTGAGTCTCCCACCTCCTTTCCCTCCACATTACCCACTGAGTCCCAGTGCAACTCTGCTGCACAAAGTGCTCATTTCCTCCATCATCATCACTTCCACCCAAAGGGCAGTGGGCAGCTCCTCAGGGAGCTGGTGGAGAGGTGGCATGTCAAGGCTAGCAATGTCTTTTTTTCTTCAATTCTGAGGACAGGCATTTTCGTGAGAAAAAAAAAATGCACATTTTTAGATCTGTAATAGGTGAACAGTTCAGAAATAAAAGCCTTTCCCTCAGAAATGCAAATCATTTGGATTGCTGTAACATCTCCAGGGCTCTAATGATCTAAAGCACTGTCTTTTTTGCTGTCTGCAAAGCAGCCATAGCTTGACCTGTGAAGGACAATTTCATTTCAAGTGACCTGAGGAAGCAATAAAAATGAAAAGATGAAATAGAAAGAAATATTTATTTGAACACTTATGGTACTATTTTTATTTGCATCACAGAGATCATCGACCAGTTCTGTGTGATCTTTCTGCTCCCTAGAAATTGCAATGTTCCACCGTAGCAAATGCACAGAGTTTAAGGTCATAAAACAGCTACAAGTACAATTTAAGCATTTGCAATTATGGGCAAAATAAAAGAAAAAGGTACTTTGTACTCCATCTGGAATTCTACTCACTCTGTACACAGTGTTAATAAAATACAGATGGAACTTGGGCCAGCGTTAATCAAAAGCCATTAACATCAGAAGCTGTTCAGTGGCCTGTATGAAACCTGTTTTATTTGTCTTAGCCCAGTGCCCATTAGACAGACATCTACATTACAGCCAGAGCCCTTGTGACATTGGCAAGGACCGAGGGCTGTGACGCATTTTCTCATTGAAGTCCCCTTTTGGAAGTAGAGCTAATCCCTTTTGGACATTGTGGGGTCCCTCCTCCCCAGAACCACTGGTGATCGTAACCTCTGTGGTCTTTGAGGGCAGAGCATCCACCTGCAGGGCTTTTGGGTAAGTAATAAAATGCAAATACGCACAGGCCAACTGCGAAAGCCACGACTGAGGTAAAAGCAGCAAGAAAAACCCATCAGACTGCCTGTCTTGTGTGGAGAGAGGTGATACTTCTTCATGCCCTAAACATCCAGAACCAGTCGCGCATGTGACCACAGTCAGAGGCGTTACTGTAGAGAAGAGACAAAGTGTACCAGCAAAACAGCTGTCTAGGTGTGTGACATCCAGCAGAGCCAGCCAGGGCTTTTCTATCTAATAGGACTGTAATCAACTAGAAGAAAAAATTTGTAAGGATGCCTCTGTTCTCTGCCCTGCAACTTTTCCCTAACTTGCCTATGGTTTTGCTCTGTGGGAGGTTGCTAAATCCAGAGCTTAATCCTGAGGCAGCACCTCCCGCATCACTCTTTCTGCTTTGTCCTGCTCTCTATAAACGAACCTTTACTCACATTTGGCACGAGGGAGACATCATTTTTCATCCATATTTTGCAGGACCATCCTTTTTTTCTGAGGCACGCAGCGACTCGCTGCCAGCAGAGTGTGCGGAGCCCTCCCCTCAGCCCAGCTTTCAAGCCTCGTTGGATCCATACGCTTCGAGTGATCAGGGTGATTTTTCTCCTGGTTTCTGCACAGGTTTGACTCGTAGCTGTCTCGTCCACGCAATGATGGCCATATGCTCTTGGGTGCCAGCAGCAGAAAGAGGGAAAAGACTTATGTTCTTCAGAGAACTGTGTCCGTCGTTAGTGCAGCTGCTGCCGTAACAGCACAGGGCTGGTGAGCTCCCAGTTTTCCTGCTAAGACTCTCTACTCGTTTATGACATGATATTTTGCACTCAGATTTGTCATGCACCTCCCAGGTTGGAAATCATATTTCAAGCCATTAAATCTCCTAAGTCCTATCTCCAACAATGTGCTTCATAGAAAAATGTCTGAAAGGCCTTTTTTTTTTTTTTCCTGTGAAAATACAGTAATAAATTTGAGGTTTAAGGCTGTAAGGGTTTGGAAATATGTATTCATTCATTGAGATGCTTTAAAAGGAGTACAATGCTTAGCAAGTGAAAATAAAATAGGTCTGATTTATACAGTAATACAGTAAAAAGGCTGTGCAGGAAAAAGCAAACAATCATTTTATGTATGTTTATGCACATTAACTCTCTAAGTGATTATACAGTCTCTAAGATCTAGATTTTCACGGGGTTTTGTAATGCTTCAAAGGAATAGAGCTGCAAATAGACAAGTATAAGTTTCATTTCTTTCATTTCAGTAACTGCAAACGCATATTTTTGCTTTCAGATGCTGCCTCTTCTGTCAGTTGTACTTACATTTTTGTGTGCTTTTTTGCTGATAAAATTCCACTGACGTCACCCATAGCAAACCTTCATGCTTGATAAATGTGTGAACAAGAAGGGAATAAGGCTCACACTAAACAAATAAATGTCAATCATAAAGGAATAAATGGGGTTTTCAGCCTACTCAGAGAAAAGGTAAGTGGAAGGGTCTTTATATAACTCCTCTTCCGTGCTCAAAGGTAATGTATGGATAGTGTTATTTAAATAAAAGATTGTTTTTTGCCTTCTTTTTTCCTTGCATGTTCTCAGAGGAAATGATATTGAAAAGGCTGAAGCCAGTGACATTTTGGTGTTGTGAAAGAGTGAGAACGTAAGCTAGAAATTACTGGAACTATATGACCCATTAAGTTGTTTTGCAATGCTGAGAAATGAAGCATAGAGTATTTTGTTAAAGTCAATATCCCATGGGGATTAAAGCAAGATTAGCATCTTTCAGTGCAACAGCCCTGCTAGTAAGCATGTAGGTATAAATCCAGAATACCTCTGGTTTACTCAAAGGAACTGCCCTAAACTCGCACCAGTGCAGCTGAGGACAAGCCAGGGCCTCTAAGCCCACTTTGGATATCTCAGGGTCGATGTGCCCAATGCTCTGCACCTGCCAGTGGCAGCTCGCTGGTCTGTGTGCAGAGAACTTCAGCCAAAGGCAGGAGCAGTGCAGGACATCATGGACTCCTCCTGTCTAATCCCAAATGAGGCAGGGATATCTCCTTCAGAGCCAGGACTTACTGTAGTTTTCTTACGGACTTTTGTTTTATTCTGTTTGTTTTGCTTTATTTTTACCCTTTCAGCAATACCCAGTGGAGATATCCAGTATCTCAGTGGAGAAAAGAGGTTGCCTTACTATTCTGTTAACAGCATTTATAAAATTCAGCCATTAACACTTCATCCACAGCTCTAGCACCAAAAGACAGTGTTTCACCCCATCCTGGCAGAAGAGATCAATTACCGGTATTCACTGTTACATATCCTGATATGCCACTGCCTTTTTCTGACAGCTACTGACAACTTTGATGCTGTCATTGCATTCCTCAGCAGTTTCTGCTCTCTTACAGACATTTAACTATTAATAGTTTAAGGAGTGCTTTCACATATTTTGTTGTGCTTTGCCAACAGACCTGAAGGACATGAGTAGAACCTCCCAGGCTTGGCCTGAGATGGATCTGAACTGATGTTTTCAGGACTGCTCAGCTGCAGCAGGTTTTCCTTTCAATAGGGTGAAATAAAGAAAAAAATAACTCTCTGGAGGTTTTCTTTACATTGCATACTTGAAACCTGAATAAAAAGCTAGGCATTAAAAGAGTGACAGCTTCAAAAAGTTGTTGGCACTGACAGACGTGGCTGATCAATGGTGGTTTGTAGCTACAAGGGAAGCTTTAACTGAAGCTGTTTCCCCTTGGTCTGCTACCAGGGACAGCAGCAGAGGTCTCTGAGGAGCTCAAGAAGGAAGGCAAGGGAGCCGGGAGGAATTCCTTTGTGGCAGTGAATACAGACCAAGAGAAACCTCTCAGCCATGTACATCTTTTGCAGCCAAAAGCTTCATAAACATTAAAAGCAGTCAGTACACTCCTGAAAACAAAGGCAACTCAGTCTTCAAATACCCTTTTCACAGCATTCTGTCTTCAGGTTCTGTGAATGGCAGGGGAGATGAAACACATATGAAGACAGTTAGGTGCTTCTCCATCCTCCCCTCTGCCTTTGCCACACTTGGATCTAAAAGGCAGCAGAATTATGAAGCCACTGTCGCCCAGAGTAAGGGCTCTCCCCACTGTCAGTTCAAAGATAGAATCACAGAATGCGTCAGGTTGGAAGGGACCACAGAGGGTCATCAGGTCCAACCTCCCTGCTCAAGCAGGGCCATCCCAGAGCACGTTGTATTGGATTGTGCCCAGATGGTTCTTGAATATCTCCAGTGAGGGAGACTCCACAGATGCTCTGGGCAATCTGTTCCAATGCACAGCCACTCGCATAGTTCAGGTGAAACTTCCTGTGCATCAGTTTCTACCCATTGCCTCTTATTACTTGTCACCACCAAGATAAGACCTCAGCAGGAGTTTGGCCTTGGTGAGGAGCCTTACCCAAGCCCAACAAATGCACCCAATGCAGGTTAGTGTGCCTTGACCTGGATTTTTCTGGTTTTTCCCGTGCTAGAGCTGCAGGAACTCTGATGCTTCCAATCCCTGGCATGTGCAATGCCCTCCTGGAGTGCATACACAGGGGTCCTGCACCGCATAACTCGTGTAACCAGGGTGCAGCAAACTTGCTCTTCCTAGCAGGTGTGCACAGTGAGTGCCACCTCTGCTGTTAATTGGTCAGAAAGCCACTTGCAACATCAGGCCAGGTGTTGAGAGATGATGTCGGCCCCACTGCAGACAGCCCTGCTTTGGGGCACCCTGGGCCCACCCCAGACAGACATACCCAAAGGAGCTTTGACCCACCTGGCTCAGGTGCTGTGTGCTGCTGAGGTGCCTCGGGCCCAGGAAGCTGGGGACTCCTCCACTGGCTCTGGTCTGTTTTTTTTTTTACCACCCCACAGCTAGATCAGGTTCATCTGCAGAAGTTAAACCCACACATGTGAACTGTGCAGCTGACATACTCCAGTTAGTACCTCCAAGGCAGTAAAGGAGTTATGCTGAAATTAGCAGGTCTCTGGTGTGACCAACAATCACATTTAGGAAGGACTAGAGTCAGGGTCACTGTCCTTTCACAGATGTAAACTAACCCTGTCTTTCCGGTTCTGTCACACCATTTTTGAAGCAATGATTTTTAATTTTTCTTCTGGAAATAAAATGGATGCTTTTAATAAACAAGCAGAGCCCTTGGGTGCTGCATCTTTTTAATGACATGATGGTGTGGCCAGAAACCATCTCTCAATGTGATAACTTTTGCCTTATCTCTAAAGTAACACATTTGCCTGATCAATCAAATATAAAAATACAATTTAAACAGCTACCATTTGGTTTTCTGAAATCCATTACATCTTCAGACTGTTCCTCTTCTCCCCTAAGCTGCAATATAATTTTAGTTAATAACCTTCTCCTTCACCTTACCTTCTCTTTCACTTTACAGTATAGTCCCATCCCATACCTTTCCTTTAAAAGAAATTTATTTGTTTTTTTGGCTGCTTCGGGGTGAGAGGAGCAGTGAGGAGAAGGAAAAACTGAGTTTGGAGGGGAAGGCAGGATTGCTTTCATGTTTTGCTTTTTCTGTGCATATAAAGTTTAGGCAACGAGTAAACCTTCCCCATCTGTGACTATGCAGAAGTAGGTTACTTTGCCTAAAGCAATTGCAATAACTCACTTGCCACTTTTGTAGAACTCTCTGCTTTATTAGTTCTATGCTGATAGCTTTACTTTCCAGGCATATGAAAAGTAGATAACTGAAATCACAAAGGTATCTTGATGCCTGAGCTCTTGTGTCATCACCTAGATGGATCTGAAACTAGGTTAATCCTATGTCAGCTCCTTCAGCTGGCCAGTGATATAGTTTATGTACCAAGTAATTGACTATTCCCTGTGTAAAATGGACAAGTGACAGAAGGACCTTTTCTCTTGACAGTGCAAGTTCTGTAATATTTAGGAGCACAAATTTAAAAGACCATCTGGTCACAAGTTACTCTTTTACTGTTAAAGGCACAATGGGATAAACCTGGAATCCAACTCTTTGGAGTAGTGGCATTAGTAAAAGCAGAAAACTTTATGAATCTGCTGGATCTTCAAGGTATTAAAGAACTTGGGTTTATTTATATGAAAAGCTTTCATGGCTTACAGGCTCAGATGGAGAAAGAGCTTTCACCATCTTGGCAATGATGGAATGTTTCATGGTGGCTAACAGAATGCAAGAGTGAAATTAAAGACTTCTCTTTCCATGGCAGAAATAAGAATGATGACCATGGATTTCTAGTGCAGCCAGATCTCAGGATCAGTTTGAACTGACTAAGCATGGCATGTAATTCCAACACCTCAGAATATATCGTAGTATACAGTAACTGGGAATTCCTTCTCCCGGCACCTCTACTTAATCTTCCACATCTTCAAAAGGTATTCATTCAGTCAAGCATCATATCAGTTTCCCCTTCCCTGCAGGGTGTGGCTGTAACAGCAAACAGTTGATCCAGGGTACCATAAATTTCCAGTTAAGATGGCAACAGAGGTCTCAGGGTATGTGAAAGATGAGTTTGGAAAAACTGTTTTCATATTGGGCTCTTGGAAGCAAGATTAAATGTTTGGTTGTTCATACAGTAACAACTGGATGACAGCCAGCTTAACATGAGACAATGTGTGCCCAGGTGGCTAAGAAGGCCAATGGCATCTTGGCCTGTATCAGGAATGGTGTGACCAGCAGAACCAGGGAAATGATTGTCCCCCTGTACTTGGCACTGGTGAGGCTACACCTCGAGTGCTGTGTTTAGTTTTGGGCCCTCACAACAAGACACAACAAGGCCCTCCAACAAGAGGTGTTGGAGCGTGTCCAGAGAAGGGCAATGGAGCTGGTGAAGGATCTGGAGCACAAGTCCTGTGAGGAGCAGCTGAGGGAGGTGGAGGTGTCTAGCCTGGAGAAAAGAAGGCTCAGGAGTGACCTCATCACTCTCTACAACTACCTGAAAGGAGGTTGTAGCCAGGTGTGTTGGTCTCTTCTTCCAAGAAACCAATGACAGGGT